AGTAATAAATCTGGCAAATGCACTCTTGAATTTACAAACTTGCAAACCTATTCCAAATGAAATTTCTGAGCCGAATATATTATATAAAGTGATGTAAATTTCCGTCACAGTATGAACACATCGTTTCATAACGATATGCTAATAATCTCTCTATATAATAATTGAGACTGTTATGTGCATAAAACCAATTAATTCACTAATTTACTATAAATATTGAGAGTAAACTTTAACTATGCAATTTCCAATCGAAATGTAATTGAAAATTTGCTAATTTTCATTTAATTAATTGTATCTTTGGTAATAATTAATTATTTCAACAGGGGAACATATTTTCTACTGTTACCAAAGCAAAACCATATAATAAATTATATATCTGAAGCTGGGAAATTCTGTAAGTCAATTTTTACTTTATGTACCCTTACAGCAGCGAAAATTTTCTAAATTTTATTAAATCTTTACTTGCAATTTGTGGAATATTTAAATGCAAAGTTTTGTGAAAATTTTTTAAATATAGATTTAAATGTTTCGATTAAATAAATTTTTGCCTAAATCGATTTAGGCGAAAATTTAATTTCAATGTTCAGGCAATAAGTTTTATAATAAACATTTGTTTATTCGAGACATTTAAATCTTTTCACAATTTTAATCTTTTCACAACGTTGCAAGCAAATTAGAGGTGTGCATTTAATCGAGTGGAATCGAAAATTATTCGACTCGACAACAGAAAATTCGAATCGAAAGTAAATTCGAATCGAAATACCAATTCGAACTTTCGAATTGGCCGATTCGAATCGAAAGAAAATTCGAATCGAAATACGAATTCGAAGTTTTGAATTTAGAATTGGCCGATTCGAATCGAAAGAAAATTCGAATCGAAATACCAATTCGAAGTTTCGAATTTCGAATTGGCCGATTCGAAAATCGGAGTTTCGAATTGTACATCTCAACTCGGTTATTTTATTCGCACAATTATTTTGACAGAAATCCTAATTCTTAAAGAATTTTAATTGAAAATTTTTGAAATTTTATTAAAATTGTATTAAAAATAATTGAATTTTTGCAAAGATTTTATAACGAAATGAGAAAAAAATTGAAATCATTCTTGAAATTTTTTTGAAAATAATTGAAGTTTTGCAAAGATTAAAATCTATTTCTATTTAAGAAAATAATTAAATTGTTTTGAAGTATTTACCCAGGTAGAAATTGACGACCGGGATGGTACCGGCCCGGTACAAACGGCGGATTATAAGTGCCGGGGCGGTACCGGCATAAGACCGTAATTTTTACCGGCTCGGTACCGGCAAATTGCCGGATGATAACTACGGCAGGTATCCGGCATACGTACCGGGCCGGTACCGAATAATCCACCGGGGCGGTACTGGCCCGGTTATTGTTGGAAGGTATTTGGTGCCGGTTTATTACCGGCTGCACAACCGGCTAGGTACTGGTCCAGTACCGACATAAGTCTGTTCATTCCACCGGCGCAGTACCGGTAAATTGCCGGATGATAACTTCGGCAGGTATCCGGCAACCGTACCGGGCCGGCACTAATAAATATCTGACGCAGTACCGGGCCGGCACTAAAAAACAACCGGTGTGGTACTGGGCCGGTTAAAAAAATTATATTTCAGTCTGATTAATTGTTTAATTATCATTATTATTATCAATGTTATTATTAATTTTAAATTGGAAACAGTAAATATATTAGATGCTGAAACAGAGAAACATAAACAATTATAGAAAAATCTGAAAACTCGAGGAATTGAACTCCGGACCCTGAGGCTGCAAAGTCGACACCACATCCGCTAACCTAAACCTGCATATGGAAAGCAAATGTAAAGTGAGCTTATAAAGTCCAACCGACATTCCGCCCGGCAGCAGTACCGGGCCGGCACTAATATTCAACCGGTGCGGTACCGGGCCAGTATTTGTATTTTCTAATTTATTTTAATTCAATTTAAATTATTAAAAATAAATAAATAAAAATAGTAATTATAAATAATAATAACCGCCCTATTCACCGGTTAAATACCGGGCCGGCACCAATAAGCAACCTACTCGGTATTAATATAATTGCCGGCACAACTAACTGCTGGGCCGGTAAAAATATTATCACCGGCAAATCTCCTTCGGCGGTATAAAAACAGAAGTAAATTATAGTACCGGGCCGGTGCTACGCCGGTGCTGGGCCGGTACAAACATTATCACCGGCAAATCTCCTTCAGCGGTATAAACCAGAGCGAAATGACAGTACCGGGCCGGTGCTACAAAAGGTGCTGGGCTGGTAAAAATATTATCACCGGCAAATCTCCTTCGGCGGTATAAAAACAGAAGTAAATTATAGTACCGGGCCGGTGCTGGGCCAGATATTTTTAATCAACCGGCCCGGTAAACACTACCAGTACCGGTAGAAAATAATTGTATTTATTCGTAAAATTTTATTAAAATTTTGTTTAAAAATAATTTAATTTTTACGAAGATCGTTATTATTTATGAAAATAATTGAATTCTTGCAAAAAATTGAATTATTTTCAATATTTTCAATATTTCCGAAAATTCAAATACATACACAAACTAATTAAAAATTTTAAATTAAAACAATTAAAATTTTTAAGAATTATAATCATACCTATTTATAAATTAAAATTCCACAAAAAATAATTTTTTCAAATTATACAAAAATTCTTCAATTTTTCTTGAAACATTAAATTACAATTTTTATATAAAAAAATAATTCTTAGAATTGGAAATTGTATTTATTAACCGTAACTATTGGTTACTAAATGAAATTAAATGAAATTAAATTTTGAGTGGTCTCAGAACTTTTTTGGTTAAAAATTCGCGGAGTTACGGAATTTCAAAGTTTAGAACACCAAAAACCTCATTTCGAGAAAAACGGAATTATTAAAGATTGCGATACCAACCAATTATTGTATCACTGGTTCTTCTTGGAAGTTATTCAGATAAGCATTGTTTCCAGTTCAGGGCACCTTGAAGATAAAAAACCAACAGGTTTTAAATTTTTAGAATCACCCCCCCCCCTTAATTAACTAATTAATTTAAAAACCGACAATATGGGCCCTTTTCTAAAAAGGACAGTTTTTCTATTAAAAAACCATTTTTTTACAAGATTAATGATTAGGTACAATTTTATTGTGTCATTTGAAGAAAAAGAATATATATTAAACTTATTAAAAAATTTTTTACAGTCTCTATTATGAAAAAATTGACGCAATATCCAAATTTTCATTTCGACAATTACGAAAAAAAAGACTCTAACATCAATATCTCTGGTTCTTTTGGGAAGTTATTCAGATAAGAATTGTTTTCAGTTCAGGACACCTTAGAGATGAAAAATCAAGAGGTTTTAAATTTTTCCGCACCTCCATTTTTAAAATTCGGATTACTTTTGCAAATGACCGACAAAATGGGCCCTTTTAATTTTTCTAAAGAACCAATGAAATCAAACAGTTAAATTATCGATAAATTAGTGAAAACCGCTTGATTCGACTTGCCAAAGCATGTAGATTGATAATAAAAAATATTAAAAAATTAAGATTTTGCTCCAAAATTACAATGCGATTATCTCGAAAACTAGAACCGACAATATGGGCCCTTTTCATGTAGACGTCCACATATGAAAGTACTTTATGATAGATTAATAAAGTTCAACTAATTTATTTTTGGATTTTTAATTTTGCAAAAAAACGTTTTTTGCCCATAACTTTAAAAAAATGTTAGGACACCTGTAAATGTTTTTCTTTAAGTTTTGTAGAGTTTTTTTAGATGCATCTTTTGGTCCCTAATTGAACATTTTTCGTCCATATTAACCGGAGACTTTTTTGAAAATTTTGTTGAAAAACGTAAAAGTAACTTTAAAATTATCGTTACCAAATTGTAGAGCATTAAAAAACGATTCGATTGACCTATTTTTGAACCTAATTCGATAATAAATTTCGAAATCATTGGTATTTTAAAAACCAAAAATTTTGGAAAATGACATTTTCTCAACTTTTGTGTTTCAAAATTTTTGTTTAACTATTAAATTATTGTAACTATCTTGTAGGGTATTTAAAAATACATTGATTGATCCAAAATCCAATCACTTTTACCATATTTATAAAAAGTAATTAATATATTTCTATTATTTTTATCTCTATGAGGAAGTACAGTGTTCATGAAATGAGTACCAAAATTATAAAAAAATATACAACTTAGTAGCGGTTTTTCATTATATATTAGCTATTAAATTGTTAAAATAAATGAAAATTTATTTTAAAAATTGAACAAAAAATTTGCAAAATAATTTTTTTTCCTTATGTACTACAAACAATAAGCGAAATATTTTCTTCACTTTCAACACATTATTGGTATTTGTATGTTATTTATATATTAAAATTATAGAATAATTAATTGTGCGAATAAAGTAACCGAGTTGAGTTGTACAATTCGAAACTCCAATTTTCGAATTGGCTAGTTCGATTCGAATCGGCCAATTCGAAACTCGAAACTTCGAATTGGTATTTCGATTCGAATTTTCTTTCGATTCGAATTTTGCACATTCGAATTTCGAATTGGTAGTTCGATTCGAATTTTCTTTCGATTCGAATTTTGCACACCTCTAAAGCAAATATTTAATAAATTTTCATGAAATTTTCTGTGTAGTGGGTGATACTTCCGGAATAAATTTTCTTACGTCCAAAGTAATCTAGTTGGAAAAATTCTATACAATTTATCTAAGAATAATTCGATTACAATTTTAGTGAACATTCTTTAGAATTTCAAGAATAAAATAATTTTACAGAATTTTACACAAATACTATAGAAAAAATTTGCGTTCCTGTTCCCATGGCACAGTGGTTCCAAATCAATAAAACGTGGCCAAAACCCCCCAAAAAAAGTTTCAACTGGAAACTTTTAATACCCCAAATAGTTAGGTTGGTATGTCTACTAATAGAAACGACCCTTTTCGTGGGTCTATTGTGTACACCTGGCCGTGAAAACCAGTTCTGCTCTGAGCGTCCGGTGAGTCACACGAATTGTGTAGTTAACATTTATGGAAACACAGTTTTCAAAAGTGCATCAATTCTCGAAATTTTAGTAAAATTCAAGTTTGTAAAATGGAAACGTCAGCAACAAGTAAGTAAATTGAAAATGTATTAAAGAAATTAAATAAAATTTGTTAATAGTTTATTTATAAGATTATTTATAATATCGTTTTTAAGAGCTTATATTTCAAAAACTAAGATTTTAAAAGTGAATAAGTCTAAAGCCCCACGACATCCCACTCTGAAATAATTTTTCCCATATTCTAGAAATAATCCACTTTAATGTCAAAAAAAAAAATTTTGCTCCAACTTGCACCATTTTTTTTAAACATTTATTTATTGCAGCAATGTCTGTTTTTTGTGAATCCATTAAATCCCAAGCAGCAGACGGACATTCATTAAAAAAACTAACTATTAAATTCATAGCCAAAAGAAAAATAAATTGACACCTATTTCTTTGTTTATCATTTCCAATTGTTTAACACTAATTGTTTAAATAATTTATTAAAAAGTTTAATATTTTCAAAAACTAACAATGACAACCGATTATATAGTAAATAAAAAGAAACTTTTGTATTGGTAATTTTTTTTAAATGTAGTATTTTGTTCATAAAATTGTTATAAACAAATTATGTCCAACAAGGTGGTTTCAGTCTATTCTTGAGAAAATTAAAAAAATAAATACTGGGTTCATAGACAAATAAAATAAATAAATAAAAAGTAAATTGACCTATGTCTTTTGTAATTTCTAGTTGTAACAATAAATTATTTATAACAATTTTATAAACAAAATATGTTATGTACAAGGAAAACAACTAACAATGCCATTCGATTACATGGGAAATAAAAAGAAACTTTTGTATTGATCATTTTTTTTACATATAGTAATTTGTTCATAAATTGTTATAAACAAATTATGTCGAACAAGGTGGTTTCAGTCTATTCTTGAGAAAATTAAAAAAAGTAACTACTTCATTCATAGACAATTAAAAAATAAATTGACCTATGTTTTTTTAAAATTTCTAATTGGAACAATAATTTATTTATAACGATTTTATAAACAAAATACGTCATGTACAAGGAAATGACGAATACAAGATCTTGCTTATGAATCCAATAGTTAATTACTATATTTAAACAGAATAATAGTAATGACAATAATATATTCAAGTGATTAAATGAATCAAATGAAGTAATTATTGTTTATTATTGTTTATTTTACAGACAGTTCCAGACTATCTGAAGGAATGACTCTCACGAGAAAAGACATTTTTTATGTTATCAAGGATAATATAAACAAGGACAATAATTTTCTTTTACAATTATTGGAAGAACACTTGTCACAAGAAAATAAATTTACTTTGTGTACTAAAGTAAAGACTGAATTAAGAAAGTTATTTAGTAAATTTCGTCAAAAGTTTGAGGAAAATCAGAGAGTTGCAGAAAGGTTTTTAAAAAACAATGATTCGTGGCTTGCAGTACAAGTTAATTTATGCGGCAATTCAAAGGACATAGAAGTCACCGAAGAACCTCAACCGTCTTCGAGTACGAAAACAGGAGGACGACCGTCTTCCACTTTTGAAGATGGCAGTGATCGAAGTAAACGCAGAAAGTCACAGGAGATTCGAGAGAAATACAGTACAGATGAACTAGCCTACGCTACACAAATGAGTTTACGAGCCTCTGGAAAATGGGATACAGCAAGGTTAGTCCAAGACGTTTGCGAAGGAAGTCCAACAAAAGCAACAAGGTATAGGCAGTCTTTATTATTAAGCGAAAATTCCGAAAAACAAATGACAAAAGAAGTAGCATTATCAATTGTTATTGAAAATCAGTTATCCAAAAACATGTACAATGGTATTAGATCTAACAGTATTCGACATCTCTGTAAATTGTATCCTTCCTATAAAAATGTTTTACAAGCAAAAAAAGAATGTTACCCTTCCTGTTACGATTTATCTGTTACGGAATGCAAAGCTGAAGTAAAACTTCAAGCATTGTTAGACCATACAGTTCAACGGATTTTGTTAGTACAAAATGATGTAATACAAAGACTTCCACAAAATGACGTTAAAAATTTACATTTAATTTGTAAATGGGGATGCGATGGTACTTCAGCTCAAAGCCGCTACAAACAAAAATTCGACGATGATATTGATGCCAATAAAACAGATAGTAACATATTTTTTACATCACTTGTACCGCTTCAACTCTTTTCTGTTGACCAATCAGGTAAAAGTAATGTCATTATTTGGAAAAATCCTCGGCCTTCGTCCCCGCGATATTGTCGTCCAATAAGAATAGAATTTTTAAAAGAAACACCTGAATCTACTAAAGCAGTAGTAGAAAATATATCGGAACAAGAGCGTAATCTTACTCCACTGCAAATAATTATTGATGCAAAAGAGATTAATGTAGATTATAAATTAGCATTAACAATGGTCGATGGTAAGGTTTGTAATTCATTGACCAGCACATCTTCGGCTCAGAAATGTTATCTTTGTCAGAGCACGTCAAAAGAATTTAATAATATAGATGCAATGTTAAAAAAAGTTATTGTCGAGGATAATTTGCAGTTTGGTCTTTCAAGTTTGCATGCGTGGATTCGATTATTCGAGTGCCTTTTGCACATTGCTTATAAACTAGAAGTTAAAACTTGGCAAAAGCGAAAAGTTGATCAAGAAAGCATTTCAATCAGAAAAGCCAATATTCAAAAAGGTTTTCGTGAACAATTGGGACTCTTGATTGATCAACCTAAACAGGGATTTGGGAACACGAATGATGGAAATACAGCACGTAGCTTTTTTCAAAATTCAACAATTTCGGCAACAATTACGGGTATCAATGAAACACTGATTAAAAGATTTCACGTTATTCTACAAGTAATAAGTTGTGGTTTTCAAATCAATGTTCCTGAATATGAAAAATATTGTCTAGAAACAGCTCGCCTATATGTACATTTATATCCCTGGTATTATATGCCAACTACATTGCATAAAATATTAATACACAGCGCACAAATTGTTGAAACATCGCTTTTGCCAATTGGGCAAATGTCTGAGGAAGCCCAAGAATCGTGTAATAAATTTATTAAAAAGTATCGACAAGACTTTGCGCGGAAAACTTCTCGTGCTAAAAATATGGAAGACATATTTTGTAGACTTTTAGTATCATCAGATCCATTAATATCAAGTTTACGAAAATTACCGACAAAAAAGCTAAAAACTTTAGAAAGTGATGCGATTAATCTGTTAAAAGCGCCAACACCTGATGATACAAATTTATATACTAATTCACCATCAAGTTCTGAAGATGAATCTGAACACTCTTCAGACGACGAATATTAATGTCGACTAACAAATGATTATATGATTTGTAATATTTAATCTGAAATAATAAATGTTATTTGATGCTCTAAATTTAAAGTGTTTTATTTCTAGCATTTTGTATCCACCACTTTGAATTTTCAAAAAATAATTTCAGATTTGCAATCAGCAACCTCAAACACCCCCGAGTACCGATTTTCATTAAAATTAAAACATTTAATACATTTCATATCCACCATATTGGATCCGCCATTTTGTTTTTTCAAAAAATAATATCAGATTCATAATCAGCGACCCCAAAAACCCCCGAGTAACGATTTTTATAAAAATTAAAACACTTCATACATTTCTTGTCCGCCATATTGGATCCGCCATTTTGTTTTTTAAAAAAATAATATCAGATTCGTAATCAGCGCCCTCAAAAACCCCCGAGTGCCGAGTTTCAAGGGAATACGATTAATTTTTAATTTTGACATCCGCCATATTTGATCCGCCATTTTGAATTTTTAAAAACTAATACCGGATTCGTAATCAGCGACCCCAAAAACCCCCGAGTAACGATTTTTATGAAAATTAAAACACTTTATACATTTCTTGTCCGCCATATTGGATCCGCCATTTTGTTTTTTCAAAAAATAATATCAGATTCGTAATCAGCGACCCCAAAAACCCCCGAGTGCCGAGTTTCAAGGGAATACGATTAATTTTTAATTTTGACATCCGCCATATTTGATCCGCCATTTTGAATTTTTAAAAACTAATACCGGATTCGTAATCAGCGACCCCAAAAACCCCCGAGTAACGATTTTTAAAATTATTTAATAACTTTTTGGGGTTTTGGCCACGTTTTTGGGATTTGGAACCACGGGCATGAATGGGTTAATAAATAAATTTTTTTTTCAATTGAAAATCAAACGAAAAACAAGATATGTGAAAAAAATGAAATTTCGGAAATCGTGTAAATTTACTCGAAATTATAGCATTGGATTCGCATTTCGGACCTGCAAGCCGTAAAGTGAGTCAACCTGCAATTATTTTAAACTCTATTTTTAAATCGATAAAAAAAATATTAATTTTTGATATTTTAAAAATTCCTTTTGGATTATCAAAATTGATTAAAAAAGCAACTAAAAAAATGTTAACTTAAATTAGCTATAAAAATATTTAATCTGTCAGCACATGAAAAAGTCACAATTTTAATTTTTCAATTTTTCCACAAGTCAATGTAAACTTCAGGATTTAAAGTAAAATTTCCTTACTTTTTGTTCCAGGTTAAACTTTTTAAGAAACCTTTTCGTCCGTAAAAAAACAGTCGATTTTTTACTATGAAATGTATCGCCGCCATTTTGTTATAAAATGTTAAATAAAATTTTTTTCTACACTTCAATATGTATTTAATAAACCCTCCAAAAAGAAATCCTATTCTACTTTTCATTTTCTCAAAACAATTCATCAAAGATATAGGTCTCTTTTTCTGGCTCTAGAGTAGTGTTACCCCAAAATTCAAAATAATGGATTTATAGAAGAATTTTAGTTAAAAACACTAAAAAATTTAATTTTTGAGAAGTAAATAAAGTTTTCCAAATAAAATCAATTATTTAAAAAAAAATTGTAATATAATTCCACGCAAACATTTAATTATTTTAACCCCTTGACTGTGGATGACGTGTATACACGTCATGAAAAAAACTGGCCCAAACAGCCCGTGCAGAAATTTTGACCGGGGCCATGGCACTTTGCCCGATCTGGCCGCCCTGTCGGGACCCGGTCGGGGCCATGGGATTTCCCCCGATCTTTTCGCTACCCAGGTAGAATTCCAATACTGACTGCATTTTATTATATTAAAGCTTGTTATTTGATTATTAAAGAATGGGGAGTATTTACTTCAATATTAATGATTATTATTAATATTTTTGTAGTAAATAAACTTTTATGAGTGTCATTAAAAATGTAAATAGTTATTAGAATTGCTTTTATTGAACTAAGTTTTTAAAAAAAATATTTTTCTTATTTTCTTTCATTAATTTAGACAGACTATCTTATTTAAATTAATAATTATTTATAATTATTATTATTGTTAATAATTATTTAAACCTATACTTTATGTAACATTATTAAGAATTATACACAAAACACTTAAAACTAAGACGGAAAAATATCGCACGCACGGGGGACCGAACCCTAGACCTCGAGGACGCAAGTCGAATACACATACCGCATAGCCACGCAAGCTTGGAAGCGACCTCGCTTAAACTTCCTTTTGAATCATGGGACCGTTATATACAGTGTTATCATAATAAATTGACTGTATCATATTTATTTATAGAAAAATTATTAAAAATGTATGTTATATATATATATATATATATATATATATATATATATATATATATAAATTAATATGTTTATCATAATAATATGGTAAAAATTATTAATTTAATTATTTATTCTATATTATTTATAATTTAACTATTTTTTAAAATAATAAAAATTTTTTCATTATTAATAATTCACAATAATACTAAAAATTATTAATTAATAATAATTTATTTTTTTGCCTTAAACATGGAATTTCAATTTAAGTGTGAAAAACAATTAAGAGTTTTTAAGAGTTATAAATGTCAAAAATAATATGTTAATATTATAACCACAAAAAAATTTAACATTTTAGGCAATATTTTTGGTTATCACCATGATAACATCGACAAATGGTTCACCCTCGACAATTGGTGCGTTTGTCCTATTGTTTTAAATTAAAGGAGAATAAATTCTTAAGACATCCCTCGAGGACAATTTTTGAGTTTTTAATTGTTTATAATTTTTATTTTCAAATTTCAATCAAAGTTAACAAATTAACACAATTTTTTAAAAACGGACGTTTATTTTCTTATTCCGTTACTGCACATGCTCTAAATCAGTTCAAATTAATCCAATATTACCAGCAGACAATTAAAAACCCATAAAGTAATATATTTCAATTGTCATAAACAACATTAATTAACAAATAGTTAACTTATGATCCTGTCCAACAGAAAATTTTTGTTGCAAATTTTCTTTTTTACTTAGGTTCTTTTAAAGAATATATGTCTTTTTTGCTTATAATATAACTTATTTAAATATTTAATATTATATATCCGTGGTCTTTTAACATTATCTAAATAAAAAAGTAAACGTGAAAAAAAAATTTTTGGTGGAAAGGAACAAAAATTAACTATTTGTTAATTAATATTATTTGTAACCATTTAAATAAGTTATTTTTTAAACAAAAAGGACACATATTTTTAAAATGAACTTAAATTAAAAAGTAGACGTGAAAAAAAATTTTTTTGGTGGACAGGAGCATAAGTTACATAACTATTTGTTATTTAATATATTGTTTATAACAATTTAAATAAGTTATTTTTTAATCAAAAAGGACAAATATTCTTTAAATAGACTTAAATTAAAAAGAAAATGTGAAAAAAAACATTTTTTAGTGGAAAGAAATCAAAGTTAACTATTTGTTAATTAATATTGTTTATAACAATTGATATAAATTACTTTCTGTTTTATTAATTATATGGTGGTCATATTGTATTAATTTGAACTGATTCAGATCATATGCAGCAACGGAATAAGAAAATAAGCCTCCTTTTTTGAAAAATTGTATTAATTTGTTAACTTTGATTGAAAATAAAAATTATAAACAATTAAGAACTAAAAAATTGACCTTAAGGGATGTCTTAAGAATTTATTCGCCTTTAATTTAAAATAAAGAATACTGAAACCGGTTAAGAATTGTAGGCTGTAGACAGTTTTGAACAGTAAATTGTAAAAAAAATCCCATTGTGCGCTGTTTGTAGATCCTTGGGCAAACCCGGTCTGGTCCTGGTCGGGGCCACGAAGTCGGGGCCAGATCATGAAATCCCGACCGGGGCCAGGGCGGTAATCGGGAACAAAAGTGGCGATTTCTGCACGGGAGTGGATGACGTGTATACACGTCATGGCCCGAACAAGAAAACATCTTAACGTATATTCGCAAAAATTTTTACTCGGGGGTTTTTGGGGTCGCTGATCACGATTCTGAAGTCATATTTTCAAAATAAATCATTTTTCATCCAAAATGGCCGCCAAAAATTTTGAAAAATTTCAAAAGTGGATAAATTCTTTTAGAAATTCTTACTCGGGGGTTTTTGGGGTCGCTGATCACGATTCTGAAGTCAGATTTTCAAAATAAATCATTTTTCATCCAAAATGGCCGCCAAAAATTTTGAAAAATTTCAAAAGTGGATAAATTCTTTTAGAAATTCTTACTCGGGGGTTTTTGGGGTCGCTGATCACGATTCTGAAGTCAGATTTTCAAAATAAATCATTTTTCATCCAAAATGGCCGCCAAAAATTTTGAAAAATTTCAAAAGTGGATAAATTCTTTTAGAAATTCTTACTCGGGGGTTTTTGGGGTCGCTGATCATGATTCTGAAGTCAGATTTTCAAAATAAATCATTTTTCATCCAAAATGGCCGCCAAAAATTTTGAAAAATTTTAAAAGTGGATAAATTCTTTTAATAATTCTTACCATTTAAACTTTGAAAAGCTAATAACAGATTCGTAATCAGCGACCCCGAAAACGTCCGAATAACGAATTTTAAGCGTATTCAATGAATTTTTCAAAATCGTGTCCGCCATTTTGGATCCGCCATTTTGAATTTTAAAAAACTAATGTCAGATTCGTAATCAGCGACCACGAAAATCCCTTAGTAACGATTTTTAAGCGAATCCAATGAATTTTTCAAAATCGTGTCCGCCATTTTGGATCCGCCATTTTGAATTTTTGAAAACTAACACCGGAATCGTAATCAGCGACCCCAAAAACCCCTTAGTATCTATTGTCATGAAAATTTATTTACAAGAAGGTCTTACACATTTTGGGACCATTTTGTTATATTTTAGCTACACACTGAAGGGGTTAATAGATATTAAAAACTTCCCAGGAATTGTATTATTTACAAATTTTTTATAAATTTCTTCGCAATAATTCAATTAGTTTCTTAACTATTAAAAGTTTTTACCCTTAAAAAAACATTTTATTCTTAAAAGTTTTATTAAAATTCGTC